AGGGACGTAGTTGACCCTGCGAATCGCTATTAACCACTGCTTTGAGATACTTTTATCTTTCGGAAACTTATGTCCGCCTTTCTTTTCCGAGCAAAACGGAACTGCGCATGGCCAATACGTTTACATTTTAGTTCTAGGGTATTAAATATGATCTAATATAATCATCTAATGAAGATACAAGTTTTGGCGCTCGTAATACGAACTTTGACAGCCGTAGTTTAGGACCTCATGCTACAGTGGCTCCATCTGATGAAACAAAAAACGATAGCCCTAATTGATCAGTTAAAGGTTTTAAATGATGAAATTACTTCAGGAAAACGACAATATCATGTTATTATAGTAAACACCGATGTTGTAAAAAGCTTATTATCAATGTACTCATCATATATTAAGTTGTTACGTGTTACAACATACATATTAAGATATGTAAATAATTGTAAATTTCCAAATAATAAGTTTGTAGGCCATCTCACAACAAGCGAAATTGACCATGCAGATCACTTTATAATCAAATCCGTTCAATAGGACTCATTCTCCAATGAAATACAAAATATTAACAAAAATCGATTGTCAAAATCAAGAAGTCTGTTATCGCTCAATCCGTTTAAAGACGATGATAGACTTTTAAGAGTGGGTGGTAGACTTAATAATGCACATGTATCTTATAACAAAAAACACCCGTTTATTTTACGTAATCATTGCGTTACGAAATTAATAATCAAACTTTACCACGAGAAATATTTCCATGCAGGGCCTCAACTGACTTTATCAACTATTAAAGAACGATATTGGCCAGTTTCCGATCGAAATATTGTACGTGGAATAATACGCAAATGCGTCCGCTGTTTTAAGTCAAAACCTATTAATTTTCAACAATTAATGGTTGATTTACCTCGGATCCGAGTAGTATCAGCCAAACAATTCGTACATACTGGTGTCGACTACGCTGGTACTCTTTATATGTTTAAGAACCAAAGCAATACATACAGAACTGGTCCCCTATTTGACTTCGGAAGCATTCTTAGCTGCTTTAAAAAGATTTATCGCTAAACGAGGTAAAATCGAGCATATGCAGGGTGTCCCAGTTATAATAATTAAAAAAAAAAACATGACTTCCTGACACAAAATACAACAAAAAAATGTTATACAATTTTTCAATCCAGTGACAGTTGAGCTCGCAAATCGTCCTTGTAAATTTGAATGTACAATTTGTTTCATTACGGGCCTGGATCTAGGCGACTAACGTCGCTCAGCTGATCTAGTGTGGATGTAACAAGTACCTATTGGGAGGAAGCCGAATGCACTTCCACCTTTTAAAAAAAGGTAAAAATGAAAAAGAAAAGCGTACCTTTTATAAAAAATGTTGAAATTGTCCGCCATTCGCTTCAATGCAACACTAACAGCGGCGTTCCCAGTTCGCTCATCACCAGCTGACGGTTGACTAAGTACCCTACTAGAATGCACTATCACAGTACTAATTGTCCTTATTGTAATAGTCTTTTATGAAATGACCACTAAATAAATTAACTAACACTAACAAACAAGTACATTCACAACAATCCAAAGCGAACTGAACAACCTGTTAGAAACTACATTATGTGTGTTTTTTAGAGTCACTTCCAGCAGTGTAATTATACGAGGTTATATCAATACTTAGCTTTTTACATTTAATGAAAACAAAATAACCAAAATTGGTCCTTCTGGACACACCCTTGTATTACCCCACGTGGGGTTAATGAGCCCTGCCAGGCAAAAGTAACGTTTAACACATGTGAATGGTCAAAGTAGGTCTGCATCTTGTCTCAACTTTTACAACCATAACACATACATTTGTTTTCGTACACTAGTACGTTATGTTACAAACCTTTACCAAACGCTGGGTGGTGAGGGTTGTTTGTGCACCGCTTCTAACTATTCCGTAGTTGTTAAAATTTCTTTTCTATTTAAAATAACATAATACTCGACGTCATGGACTACATTAGGTCCACTTCAGTTTACGATCATGGGATTTTCGATTGTGATAGGTACATAGTTTTTCTAACGTGTTTCAGTCATCTAATGGACCTTAACGCGAGTGCATTTTCTTCGGCTGATCCGTAACTTAATACCAAACATAAACAATAACATCACCCCAAAAACCAGCTGATTCCGACCTACTGAAGGTGAATTTTTCTACGATCAGCTGGCAATCGTAATTAATTTGCGATTGTGCAGGGCCGGCATCGAAACTGTTATAATTTTATAATTTTTTATTTTGTTTCAAAAGTCAAAAGTGTTATAACATTTTATGTTCCAAATGTCCGTAGGAATCTGTGGCATAAATATTAATTATTATAACTGGGATACCCTATATATACCGACAACGCTACAAATTTCGTCGCAGCTAATCGCGAAATAAAAAAATTACAGAAATTGTTAAACACAAATGAATTCAAAAAGAATGTAAAAGATGTACTTACAAACGATTCTATCAACTGGCATTTTATACCTCCCAATTCACCGCAATTTGGCGGTATCTGGGAGGCTGGTGTTAAATCAATAAAATTTCACCTTAAACGCGTTATTGAAAATGCTATGTTGACCTATGAAGAGATGAACACTGTATTAACTCAAATAGAAGCCATCCTTAATTCTCGTCCCTTGAGCGCTTTACCGATTTCATTCAACGAATTAGATGCCTTAACTCCTGGTCATTTTTCGATCGGCAATCCACTCCCCGGTGGCCCCAGACCTATCAAACATACAGGGAAATAGATTATTCAGAAGGCAACGTCTGCAACAGATTAGCAATACTTCTGGAGAAGGAATATTCGTCGTCATTGCAGCAACGTACTACATGGAAAATCCCTGGACCTGCAACCAGGTTTTTTGGTTTTAATAAAGAAAGGTCATCTTCCTCCGCTTCAATGATGCTTAGGGCGAATAACCAACACATATCTTGGAAATGATGGTATAGTGCGCACAGTGTCAGTTAAAATAACCAAGGGTGTTGGTAAACGTGCCGCAATAAACATATGTCCGTTATCAATAGACTTACAATATTTTGAAAGGGAATTCTTTCAAGGCGGGCGGAATGTTTGGTGTCATAGATAATAGATATTGTTGCATCCCAACAATTTCAATAACTTTGTATAATAAATCATTACATGACACTAATTGCTACCCTCTCCATAGGGTTGACCTAAATTTGGTATAAAAGCATCCCTTTTTCCCGGCTTTCACCCAAATTCAATTCGGTTCCAGTTATATTTTAGAAACGGTTCGAATAGAAAGTCTTAGATGTTTAATTAACCATCCTATACAATTTGTGTATCGTGACTTTCCAATTTTAATAAAGAAGTAATTATTATCAAGGTGTTGTTACTCGTCGTAATACATTAATTGGATAATAAGAACGATATTGGACAGTTTCCGGGCGAAATATTGTACGTGGAATAATACGCAAATGCGTTCGCTGTTTGAAGTCAAAACCTATTAATTTTCAACAATTAATGGTTGACTTACCTCGGGTCTTGGTAGTATCAGCCAAACCATTCGTACATACTGGTGTTGACTACGCTGATACTCACTCAGCTGCGAAAAGAACCCATCATCCTGAACAAGCGGCAACCATCCACAAGTTGATTTGGCCATCCGCTGCCCCATCTCACCCCAGAGGTAAAGGGAACGCAGTCCCAAGTGGACAACCAGCAACTCTGAAGACGCAACCTACTCCAGAAGTCGGGAACGTCATCCATCATCACTAAACCAAGTAAGTGTTGTTCTCGTTTTATCGTCCAAAATTCCTCGCCTTTATCCAGATCTCGCTAGTTTCTTTAACATGAGCGAATCTAATAAAGATCGAAAACCGTTACCAAGCGTCAAAGACGACCCCGGCCAAGACGAGTCGGAGGACGAATACCAATTAGAGCCACTACCTCTATCTCTATTGTTTAAATTTATTAGGCCTTTTAATGGTAACAGGAAAGAACTTAGCACATTTATTCAAAATTGTAATAGTGCTTTTCAGATGGCACAACCCAACCAAGTAAATCAATTGTTCCTTTACGTTGCTGCCCAGCTATCCAGCGATGTAGTTAATGAATTAAATATGGAAGAAATCAGTAACTGGACAGATTTAAAATGTAAATTAAAATCTTATTACAGTCATGTAAAAGATCTAACCCAATTACACGAGGAGTTAGAGACAGTCAAACAAAACTCAAACGAGTCAGTTACCGATTTCTTTAAACGCTTAGAAAACTTAAAGAACGAATGTATCGCAGCAGAAAAAAACAACTGCGAAACTCCCGATGAAATTCCAAGTTTAGTTAGGGCAATCCAGAGAACTACACTTAGGCGATTCATTTTGCACAGCAAACCGGAGATTTCACAAATGTTGAGAGCTAGGGACATCAAATCTTTAAATGAAGCTTTTGGTATCGCGTTACAAGAGGAAAAAATCCTAAATTACACAAGAACACAAAAACACAAAACTAATTCACTTTATTGTAGTTTTTGCAGAAGTAACACCCATTCTACACAGAATTG